TGATTTTCTTGAAAATGTTTTTGAGTTGTTTGTTTAATTTGGGTGTTATGTTGTTTTTAGTGTATTGTCAGCCTGCCTAATTGCTGTCTAATGTCATTTATTTGTGTTTCTATTCTTCTCTGCCAGGGAGGCTTGTGATAGAATTGTGTTTTGTGTGTATCTGTCTGCAATTGTATTTTCAGTCCATTGTGTGTCGCTACCCCAGCGTAAACTAATATATGAATGTCTGAGAGTGTAGAAATTAAATGGATGTAGTGTGGTAGTAAGTGAGTGTTTACATAATTTAGTGTTTTTGCTACTTCCTTTGACATGCTGATTTTGGGTATTTGTGGTCTTTGTGTGGGATCTGTGCCTGTATATTTAGTGAGTGTTTCCTGAAATATAAATGAGAGCATATTAACTAAATCTATGTCTATGTTATCAGTGGTGGACAAGGAAGTGTCTGTAGTATCATTAATGGTAGTTGTTGTATGTGTGCTATTATCAATATTTGTTGCTGGATTATCCTGACAGATTACGTTATCTTCATTAATGATAAGTGTTTCTGTCTGTTGATGTATTTGATCAGCAACCTGTTGTTTGATAAGTTCAAGTGTTGTTTGTGGGATAAGGTAGTTGTAAATAATTGTTCTTTTTTGATCAACAACCCTTTGAGTGAGTGAGATGAGGATATTGTTGTGTGCTATGGTGTAGTTGTTGTCTGTATGCTGTCATGTTTGTTTCGAGTTTTGTGATTGTGTAGTAAGTATGGATGATAAACTCGTTCATTTCTAATGTCCATTTCATTTGTTGGCATGGTTTTCCAGCCTTTGTGATCTGTGGATGCATTGCCACAGAAACACCAAGGCTAGGTTGATTCCTCACATCTGTTGAGGGCATTGAAGTAGCCATGCTTGGGCCGGTGCTGCTTTCGCCACCGGTAACCAAGGGAGATTGTGGCCTATTTTTCGANTAGTATTTAAAAAGATTTTTTATTTAAGTAACCTAAAAAATAAAAAAATGAAATAACCTATAAAATAAAAAAATCAGAAAATTTTTCATTATAATGGAGAATTAACTTACTTGATGATAACCTTTCTTGAATAAAATGATTAATTTTAAATTTTAAAATCTAAAAAAATTTGTGTGGAATTTCGAATTTGGGATGAATTTAAATGTTTGTTCAAATTCATTTATTTTAGACATGTTTATGAGTTACCTGAAAAGTGGAGATGATTAAAATATTTATTAATAGCCAAAATGTATACTACAGGATATGTGCCACTATTTACTTTCCTTCTTCATTATTTACACTTTATACTGACTAAAACTAATTCTGTCCTCTTCTTCCCTCGGGTTGGTGGAATTTCCAAAAATCCCTTGTTATTTTGCATTCTAATGACATACCTTACTAAAATGCACTCAAAAACACAAAAAACTGAATCTAAAATAGTACAGTAGAAGCCAAGTTAATCTTCTACCTCTCCCCGTGGGGGAATTTCCAAAAATTTTTTTTAGGGTACATTCTCACGGCATACCCTATTAAAATGCAGTTAAAAATAAAAAATTGCATCTAAAATAGTATAGTAGAAACTGAGTTCTTTAGGATTAACCTTAATCCTCTCCCTTGTGGAAGGAAACTTTGAAAAATCCCTTCTCAGTGTACATTTTTAAATTAATATATTATAATCCTTCCATTATTACAGAGAAA